TTTCATGACAAAGTTGTATACAAAAATATAATATATAAATGAAATATAAAATCAGGTCAACCCCCTGACGGCTTTTCTTTCCAACATTTATATTCTTATAATGTAATACAAGCATAACACGGAAGAAGAACATATACCGTACCATACCATACCATACCATATCATACCATACCAATACAAACGCATATACACACTAAGCATTTGGCAGTGCAGTTTAACAGCCGTCGTAAAGCCAGCAAAAGCATTAACTATTCTCGTAAAGTTTTTTTTTTTTTTCTTTTTTTTTTCTATCTTTTTGCTTTTTTTCATCCTCTTCTTTTCCACGAGAATGTATCGAAGAGCAAACGAAAGGATGAAAACGCGTAGCTTCCCGTTTGAATATCTTTACGATCGACGTATATCAAAATAGAAAGGGGAGGGGAACAAAAAAAATAGGAAAAAAAAAAATAGACGAAAAAGAGAAAGAAGTAAAAAAGAGAGAGAAAAGTAGATCGTTGTACATACGTATGTATGTAGACATAGACCAATCCGGTAATAAAAAATAAAGAACGGAACCGAAAATAGTCGAACGGTAAACCGAAAATCGATAGACCACGAGATCGGAAAAAAAAAAAGTTATTTTTATGAATTGTTTAAGAACCGTATATACGAATTTTGTAACGTTGACCGAAAAACTTGGCAGTTTTTTTTGTTTCTTTTTCTTTTTTGTTTTCGATAATAAAAATTTATAAGAAAGACAAAAATTTTCTCGAATTTGTCTGTTCTAATACTTTAATCTATCGAACCACCAAACGAACACGCAGGGAAATTGTTTAACGTTATTGCGGTAAATACGTCAAATGATACTAGACTCACAGGCTTATAACAATATTGCTACTCTATCTCTCTCTCTCTCTCTCTCTCTTTCTTTTAAATATACAAACACACACACACACACACACGTACAAAGCGTTCGATATGAAATCAAATTAGTTTATTGAAATTGACATTACGGTAATTTCTATCTACGATCATTTGAATGTTTCTGATTATTATTGTTACGATCTAATTTACTGTAAAAAAAAAAAAAAAACATATTTTCATTTATTATTGTATTATTTTTATTATACAT